ATGAAGATTTCTGTCTTCTGGGTTGTTGCGCTGTGTAGTCTGGTCGATGTTTACCAACGTTTCAGAGGTCATACTGCCTCCGTCATCAGAGTATGAAGATTTCTGTCTTCTGGGTTGTTACGCTGTGTAGTCTGGTCGATGTTAACCAACGTTTCAGAGGTCATACTGCCTCCGTCATCAGGGCGATGATTGGTTAACATCGACTAGACTACACAGCGCAACAGCCAAGAAGACAGAAATCTTCAATATTAAAGATGTCTGAATAAACTATTAGTGAAACATTTCAATGTAATTTATTTCCTACAAATAGAACATGTGTCAGGAATGGGTTGTGTGACTTTTCGATCACCGGGTATTAGTGCTGCATTGTGTTAAAAGATAAACTCAGTTCGAAAGCAAGAATGTGGATGAGAGCGGTCACACCTTTCCTTTTCATGCATAAAACTACGTAACCTAATACTAGCATCAGTGGTCATACTGGAAAGTATGACCACTGATGTTAACTAAAGAATCAGCATTACTAGACACTTTATGTTTATAATCTTTAAACCTCGCATACTGTGTAGTGTTGAATATTTATCTAAAATATATAAAATCACGCATACAAACAAAACTGTTTACACTTTAAAGAAACACTTAGTGCCAGGAGCTTTTCGACCTCAAGAGGTCATCATAATGAGGTCGAAACGCGTTTGGCACTAAGTGTTTTTCCAAAGTGTAAAAAGTTTTGTTTGTACGCATGATTTTATATATTTTAGACAAATACTTCAAGTTCAGTAACATTTCTTTCCTGTACACAGGCTCTGTTGACAGAAATGGACTACGCTAGAGAGACGAGAAACTGGAGAAAGCTGAAGACTGCCTAGGCGTTTAGACAAAGCTGTGTCACGACGTTCGATGTATCAACGCCGACAATCCTCGCAGCTTAGTGGTGAGTACACAGAAACTTGAAAGGGTGTGAACGCGTACGTTCAACATGCTCATGAAGCAACAAAAATCCCTTTTTGTAACAACATAAAGTAATGCAGTTTTACCTTAAGTCTATAAATGTCAGCCGTGTTGGGGCGTCTTCTGAACTACTACTGACGTCAAACAAAATTGAAAGTTGAGATATTACGTTCTCAGGGCGATTAATTTAATGATTGCTGTCTTCTGGGAAGCTGTACTCAGTATAGCTTACAGTGTACTGTAATATCTGGTAGATACTGACTGGCATTAATAATGGACGCAAAAAGATTCTCTGGAACGTCAGTCAAGACCTACCACGCATTATGGTCCAACATCTCAGAAAACAGCCATTTTTAACATCGGTGGTTATAACAAAGCCGTTAAATAAACCCAGATAATTCGTTGCTGTGTATACGGTTGTCTTAATTTAGACTAATTTAAAATTCGCTTGAACAAACATAAAGTTATATTTTGCATTCGCAGAATTATCGTGTCTTATGTGACTCTGTACTCTTCCTTGAAATTAGGACGCCTTAGCCAATAAAGTGACCAGTTAATGGGGTTTGATTTCCGATAGAACACACGTTTCTTTCCACTGTCACTCACAGACCGCCTAAGGGACTTAAACGCCTTCCTGTGCAATGGCTACGACGAATTAGTTACTTGATCCTGGCAGCACAATTAGTTCTACCCAATGTTGACATCTGTCAAGTCTTTATTCTGCTCGGTCATGAAAGTGTTAGACAAGAAACCGTTACCCACCGTCCAGCATCCTAGCGTAAAAAAGTGACAAGAGATTCGACCTAGTTCTTTGACACCATATTGTTTCGATTAAAATCTTCAGAACCAGAGGTAATTTGTCAGGAATCTGGGTGATATTAATTCTCTTTTTTTTTACGAAGGAGAAAAGACGCGAAAGCAGAATTCCTTCAATTTACCCTAATTATAATGCTACAGATGTCACTCTTCTTCAGCGTTTCATTCCTTTCTCATTACATCTCTTATCGGAGAGATCAGTCAAATTATGTGAACAGTAATAAGTCGTCTTACATCTGAAATGTTATTACACGAGCGCAAATATGTGTCAACGGAATAGAATTTTAGACGAAAGATTTGCATAAATTGCCACCGGTATGATATGTGTCAATAAGTGTTCTTTCAGTACAGTGTGTAAAACATTTTCGTCACTGTCGAAACTATTCGTGGCCAATAAATCCTTTGAAAGTGTTACAAAGTTCAAATATTTGGGAACAACAATAACAAATCAAAATGATACTCATGAGGAAGTTAGTAGGAGACTAAATTCCGGAAATGCTTGCTACTTCTCAGTTCAAAATATTTTGTATTCCCGTCTGATTTCTAAGAACCTGAAAATTAAAGTATACAAAACAATAATTTTGCCTGTTGTTTTGTATGGGTGCGAAACATGGTCTCTC